CCCTGACAGGACTCTGCTGGAATGTCACCACAGGCCTCCTCCATTGCCTGGAGAAGGGCATTACGTTCATAGGGTTTGCGATCATACACCTTCCACTGCCATGCTGAAAACAACTCCTCAATGGGGTTGAGAAATTGGGAATATGGTGGGAGATAGAGAATTGTTATGGACCTGAGCAGCACGATGGAAAGTCACGTTGTCCCAAATTAGAACATCCATTTGCTGCTCAGGATCACCTGGCCCTCTCTGCTCTGGCTGAAAAAGATTGTCATGTAAGGTGTTCAGGAAATAATAATATAATAATAATAATAATATGCCATTTAGCAGACGCTTTTATCCAAAGCGACTTACAGTCATGCGTGCATACATTTTTTTTTGTGTATGGGTGGTCCCGGGGATCGAACCCACTACCTTGGCATTACAAGCGCCGTGCTCTACCAGCTGAGCTACAGAGGACCACCAAAATGAAGGACATGGGCAGTGTTGTATGGTCCAAGGGTGGCATGGCTGTGGAAGACCCCATTGTGGCTCATTGATGCGCGTATGGCGACTTTTCCCCAGCGCTGGCCAGGTACCTCAATGATGGCGGGTTGACCAATAATGTTCCTTCCTCTCCTCCTCATCTTTGCTAAATTGAATCCAGCCTCATGTATAGGAGTTCCTGGGGGATGGAACTTGCATCCAACTCCATGATTCTCTGAAATGACAGTAAATACTTTAATTGCAGTATAGTAAAGTTCGCTGGCAATATCAATGAGTCTCAAATGTTTCAAGAGTGTAATACTAGTAAATTACCTATTTGCACATATTCGTACAGTTTATCCTTCACACTTTGGGAATTCCTTGCAAATGGGACTCTACATTTTCTTCATCCGGAGATGGCGTTTCTTAAGGATGCGGGCTATGGTTGATAAGCTCACTCTGATGTTATGGCAGGGTTTTCAATGATCTGTTGTTGGATTTCTCTGAGTCTTAAGGCATTATTTTCAACTACCATTGGCACAATGGCAGCCTCCTGTTCGTCTGTAAATAGATGCGTTCTACCACCACATGGTGGTCGTCTTTCAGTGCTACAAAAACAAAATAGCATACAGTATACAAGATAAACATGTTACAAAGTAGTATAGCTCCCAATTTCATTCATACAGTAATACATGAAACATTTACTTTGTTTCCCCTTACAGTATGTATTGGAATCTACAGTCTTTATTTACTGTGTTTTATGTTGTACTACTGTCAAGTAGTATAAGTAAGTAGTAGATAGGTCCAATGTCTGCAGTACATACCTATTCTCATTTTGGAATGTCCGGATGATGGATGCTACGGTGAAGCGGCTCAGATTGGGCTGCACTCTCTGCCCAGCTTCTCTCACAGTCAAACCATGGTTGACCACATGGTCCACCACAGTCACGCCAATTTCATCAGAGATTACTCTCCTTGTTCTAGGTCTTCCTCCATCTCCACTTCCACCTCCACCTCTGTCTGCTAAGTTTTCTTCCATTGTCCTCCAAACACAGGAGTACTCACCTGTAGCCTTTTTATCCATACCAAAAGTCTGATTGCAAAGTGAACATTTACGCAATGTGTTTGCAAATGAGAAGAGTGAACGTGATCAATTGGTAATTGAGCTTAGCTTGTTGAACAGTGTTGCTTTTCATTTGCACACAATATATTTTAGTTGTGAAGGTTGTGCCAAAGGTAGAGAATTGTGTGTTGTGTTTTGCCAAATGTTTGTTATAGAATTGCAATCTGAGTGTAAAGCAAAACATGTGCCAGTAGTATTGCAGATTTGGTGTATGGTTCTGCTAAATGAGGTACAGGTTTGGGTCATTGTGCCTCATGGGACAGTTTTAGTGTGTAAACAATTGGGGAAAACTGTAAGACCTAGACAACCAGGTGAGGGGGGTTCCTTACTAATTAGTGACCGTAATTCATCAATCAAGTACAAGGTTGGAGTGAAAACCCGCAGCCATTCAGCCCTCCGTGGAATGAGTTTGACGTGCCTCATTTCCTGCAGAAATATTCTCACAGGATTTTCATTGCCATTTTCCTGTAGAAATAGCATGTTCTGCAAGAATAACAAAAATCCTGCAGGTTCTGTCCCTACAGGCCTCCTGAAAAAATGAAGCTGATCCTGTAGGAATACCATGTCATTTTTTTGGCCTGGATGTGCAGGATCTTTTACATTCCTGCAGGATAAGGCCAATTAAGCCGGAGTCCTATCAATTAGTTCCTGCAGGATTTCATCAATCATACAGGATTCCTGCAGGAATTCTTGCCTTTGTTTAGTAATTGTGTAGGTGACCTTTAGGACTTTCTTGTAAGGGTAGATAATCTTACCTTATCTGTAGAGGCAGTAGCATCACATGCTGTCTAATGATGATGGGTGGTTAGTGGTCTGACAGGGGAGGAGAAAAGGTACATGGCATTGGGAGGAGTCTGTGTATGCAAATGTATATGCATTATTTTCGTTTTCCAGTTTTCCATGCCCTACTACTCCCATTCCCAGGAGAGTGATATGTGACATGGATTATCAACATTTAGCATTTTCTGTTTGCAAAACCATATTCAAAGTGAAAACAATTAGGTATAAATACACACACCTACAAATAGAGAGAACAATTGGTTTAAAACACACTAGTTTATTTCATACAAATCCCCAAACAGCAAATAAAAAAAGCTTAGTATTTCAAGAATCTGATGACCGACAAAGCTTCATGTTCATTAAAGCATTTACTCACAGAAAGCAAACATCACATCCCATTACTTACAGTAGGAGAATACAACAGGTCTACTTCCCGCAGTCTACGTAATATTGCACACCAATTCATACAGACCTGCACAGCCGAGAGGCATGCATACACACTACAGTTTAAAGTGCTAGCTCGAACCATTAGATTAAGAGTCTGCAGAATATTTGGTTTAACTTACTACTGAAAGCCATATGATTCCCTTTTCTAAAAATCAGCAGTGATATGTCGCTAGAATAAACGCACTATAGTAAACCTCTACCATACATCGACAGTGAAAGACACAGCTGCTGTGGCCACCAGTGACTTGACCCAAGATAAGCAAATTAACACAAACACCTAACCTACGAGACATTCAGTTTGTTCTGTATATAATAATGCATTCTGTGATGAATAAACAACCCTGAACCTGTTAATTAAGTGCATAGACTTTTTAAAGGTGTTCCAGTCATTTCAAAAGGAACAGGTAGAGGTGTTGTGCCCTAAAAGAAATTATAGAGAATTACTCTGAATTATGCGCACCAATTTGAAAGTAAATAGGAATTCAGTTTAAAACGACAGATTATGTTGTTACTCAACATGACCTTATATGATTCAGATAAGCAACAACCAAATAACACCACAAATTCTAGGAAACGCTACACTCAAATGGACCTAAACACATCAAACACAGAAAGGGGGATGTGTGTGTTCGGTTTTTAAATGCTCACTTCACAAATTCAGTCAGACACGATTACATCTAGTTCCAATTACAATTTTCCACCAATTACCCAAATCTTTCAAGTTTCTTTAAGCCTTAAGAAACTTCACAGCACATACAAACAGAGAATAAATTGCAGATCTAGGTTTTATTTGACGGAAAATGTCACACTAGATATGTACATCGAGGTTAAAATGAAAAAAAGTTAATTCCAGTTTATTATTGGATATGAACAATCTTAAAGGCTAATATATTACGGTATAATAAAATTGTAATGTATTTATGGAAGCTGCAAAGGAAAGTTAAGTCCTGTTCCGAGGAGGAAGGTATAGTTTTAAAAGGATTTCCAGGGCTGACAGGAGGTAGGTAGCATAAGGGCCCACAAACCTGAGAAAACACGCACCGATTACCCTTACCCTCAACAAAACACAAACATGACCGGATCTACAGATATTCCTGTCCAGAAACCCATGTAGGAAAGCCAGAGCTGACCAGGGGTGTATTCAGTAGGGTGAAACGTGCAGAATGAGATCAAAGTAATGTATAGAGTCAAAAAGACACCCTTTTCTAGAGTAAAGAGATTCTGATCGGTTGACTTAATATATTTTCTATCTGAACGTTCTGAAATGCTGCACCCTCTTGATTCTCAAGAGCCAATCAACAACTAGCGTAACAACTGGCTGTCAATTCTGTATAATTTTCTAATATGAAGTAGTTAAGAAAGGAACTTGGAAGAATGTGTGTAGTGAGAACCTGTGGGGTTTCTGAGGTTTCACATTCTTGGTGCTAAAAAGAAAACATTCACTGCTGTTGAACAACTGCATCGAGACAGCCGTGTGAGAGTTTAATTAATTCATGTCAACATTTTGTGATTAACAACTAATCGGTGAGAACTTGAGATCGGCCCGTGTCAACTCACATTTCCAAAAGTTGACACCAATGCATGATTTACATTAGAATTCCACCCTGTATGTGAATGCCTAGTGTTACAATTCAGATAAATGTGCTCTGCATTGAAGTAGTGAGAGAATGTACAAGGGGTGTTTTTTTTTTTTTATGCAATCAAATAAATACAAAATAAACACCTGTGAGAGAATGTGTCCAAATTGAATGTGGTCTAGCCAACTGGTGTTGACCGTGACTCTTGTCAAAGGACATTGATTAGGTATACGTTTCGTCTCAGTTTTTGGTAGCGATGTTTCTCGACCAAGGGGTCCTTGTGACACTCTCTCACCCTTGTAAGTGATGACCAGTTATTATTAGACAAATTACAGCATTTGCTAGAAGACCTATTTATCATGAAAGGCACAGGAGTAGGACTAGCTGCAAGGCTCTTCGGGTTTCTCTTGGCTACATTTTACTACATAAATAGGTGTTCATTAAAACAAAGAAATGGCATGATAATAATAAAATGAAATAGTACGTACATACACAAACAAACAAACCACTACAAAAATATACCTGACTGAAAGCAGAGACAGAGAGGAACTTGAGCTCAAAGGCAAGTGTTGAGAGAGCGAGACCCTTTGGTGTGTGGAAGGCCCAGCATCTCACATATACGACAGTCGCTTTGCCGTGATGAACTCCTCTAGATGGACCTTGCCACTACCCATGAGGCCAAAGGCGGGGTACATGGTACCGGAGCAGTCCACTTGCCGCTCGTAAAGGCTTCTCATGGTGTCTGCATCGTAGAAGTAGACACGGCCCGCCTCGTAGTCCAGGCACACACCAATGCGCTGGGGCATGGGCAGCACCCGGTTGCCGTGGTCGTTGCCGGCGGCAGCGGAGGGGAGAGACGCTTTGGGGATGAACACTTTGCCCATGCCCACGGTGAGCAGGGTGAAGGGCTGGGACAGATCGTAGCACGTGTCCTCGCTGCCACTGTCGTGCCCACTGTCGTGGTCGTACCTGGAGTTGGGAGAGATAACGGAATCAGCCTACAATTACAACACATTCAATTATACATTTTACATTTTAGTCATTTAGCAGACGCTCTTATCCAGAGCAATTAGGGTTAAGTGCCTTGCTTAAGGGCACATCGACAGATTTTTCACCTAGTCGGCTCAGGGATTAGAACCAGCGACCTTTCGGTTACTGGCACAACGCTCTTACCCACTACTCTGACACACTGAGTGTTTCTCGTCATTATCTGGAAGCCTGTTAAAATATACATAACAGTAAACCCACAAAGTAGGTAATAACATAAATATTTTAATGAATTGTTGAGAAACTAAGGCATGGTCCGTGAATTAGCCCTTCACAGGTTAATGCTTCTTATGTCACAGGCTTCTTTGTGACTCAGGCCTGATCCTTAGTGAGTGTGTAATAGAGAAAGACTGAGGAAGTGGGGTTTACCTGGGGCTACTAGTGTCCCGGGGGTTGTGCATCCACTCCAGCAGCTTGGAATCAGAGGCCACGCCCACCTTGACCAGGTAGGAGTGGGGCTCCACGCGGAAGGCCCAGTAGTGTCTGCCCTGAGAGATGCCCGTGTCACCGATGATGTAATCCAGGCCCATGTAGCTGCCCGTTTGCACACGCTCAGCAGCCAGCAGGAAGGCCATGCCGGCCGCACTCTCCACCGAGTCACGCCGCTTACTCAACGTCAGCCGCTCCGAGCTGAAGCCGCACTTGTCGTTGAACAGGAAGCCAAACACTACAGGAAAGAGAGAGAGCGCGAGCGCGAGAGAGAGAGAGAGAGAGAGAGAGAGAGAGAGAGAGAGAGAGAGAGAGAGAGAGAGAAACGATAAAAAAAAGAACAGTCAGCCGCATATAGAATTTCACATTTCTTCTCATCTCTGGATGCCAGGAAAAGGTGGACTTTCATAAAGTGTCACATGAGGGCGCCATTATAAAGATCTTCAAGTAATGAAACAAAGTTAAGGAATTTACCAAATTTCCAAAACGCTACATTTTCAGATGTGAAGAAAGATATACAAAACAATGCATGGTTTCTTAATTCTCAAATAAGGTCATTATAAATTATTTTCTAGGTCACATCTGCTGCTGAACATAAAAATATGCTAAAAATAGTTACAACGCCAAAGGCAATAATTACTATACACTTAAGTAATATAATTATGCCTGTGAATTGAACCATTGCATTTTGTCTCCATGGTATGATGAGATGATTCATTCGTATTTATTCATGACGATCCCGTAAAAACGAGGGCAAAAATACTAGCCTTTGTTGTGTGAACAAACTTAATTGAATTGAGTCATCCTAAAGATAACCTTCATTAAAAAGGATAAGAAATGGACAAATGTATGGTCGTACAGTAATGATTCAAGTCTATGCCTACACTGACTGTTGTTTTGATAGGAGGCGTGTTGAAGCTACTGTAATGTCTGTCTGAGGCCAGCGTTGACCCAGAATTCCACCTCATTACTAACGCACTCTGCATCCCACTGCTAAACGTCCCCACAGTCCGAGCAAAGGAATGTGGGCTCCCAGTCCCATCACTGGGCTTCCATCTATAGTGGACCCAGCTTCCAGCCTCAGTTTACAGCAAACTAATGAGCCAGGGGAGAATAAACACTCAATGAAATCCTAATGGATCAGCCATTGTCCATATGTATGGAGGCTAGGATGGACGGGTGGATGGGGGACTCTGTCCAATTCAGTAGACTGTTGAGGAATTAAAGTGATATCAACCCCTAGAGTGCTCTACAGATGGCATGGCATTGCTATTCAAAGTGCCTAGAACCATCGGAGGAAGAAACTTTGAAAATTGTAAGCAGATGTACTGTAACTCCGGGCCTCGGCTGCATCGCAACTCTGCCCAGTCAGTCTGAAACAAACAAAGAATTCAAAAGGCGAGTGTTCCTGCGATTCAACAAAGGAGACGGGTCGCAGAAATGATAAATGAATGACCGACCCACCGCGGCTTCCTAACAATCAACTGTATTTTATCCACACAGTTCACTCGAGCAGTCGAGCATCTGTCAATTTGTAATCTTCCGTGGATCCGACTGCTAAATACCGACAGACTCGGGAAGATAAATAAAATAATAAGCTTAACTTCAGCCCTGAAGCCCAACACAGGCGGGATGCCAGCGTAAGACAGAAAATAATAAGACGTATTTCTTGGTAATTAGGATAATTAGCATCCAACTTTCAGGGCTGCTTTCACAGCCTATTAGAGATGATTGCTATAGAGCCCAGTACAGTATACTAGCTTTTCCCAGTTCCTACATTTGAAAAATGGCATTGAATCATTGTTAAATGATTGCGGAGTATTTATTTGTTTTGAGTTGCTATTCCAGTAGAGCTTGAAATTATTAGTCGGTCACTGTTTTGGTAAAGGGCCCAGGGCCACCTCTCTCTTCATCAGTGCCTACCGTCCACATGAATATTACATCATCATAATCAGTGTGTGTGTATGACATCATCAGTGCCTGGTGCCTACCAGGGGCAGGTGGTGTGTGGAAGGTGACCTCTGGGCTGTAGGGGCTGTAGATGGAGTTGCGACAGCTGCGGACTCTGAACGAGTAGAGGCTGTCGGCCTCCAGGTCGCACACCACTGTGCTGGGGCCGTACACCGGGACTGTGGGGCGCCAGCCGCCCTCCTCCTCGTCCTGCTCGACACCCAGCCTCCTGTACTCCAGCACCTGGTGGTCTGTGGCCAGGGTGTCCTCAGCCAACTGCCAGCACACCAGGCCTTCGTTGTAGACACGACTGCGGGACAGATCGATGATGGGAGGGTCAGGGACTGGAGAGGGAGGGGAGGAGAAAAGGTAAATGGCAGAGGGAGGGGTCAGTTTAAAGTGTAATTCGTCTGCAGCCAATTCATATGTTTTTCTCTAATCGACAAACTAACAGGAGTAAGTAAGCAAGCCTTAGACAAGTAAGCCTAGTCAGAGCAAGAACGTCCCATACAAACTAATGCTAGAAATTATTTTTAATGGTATTGGTTATTCAGGCTATCTGGAAATATAGAAAAATAAACACTAAACTTGATTTAGCCACAAAGTGATCAATGTTCAACACATTGGTTTATGAAAGCGCATAAGTTTCTGTAAAGGCATGGAGTCGACAAGAGATGAGACTGAACTCAAAGTAGACAGACAATAGACAGGAAGAGTGAGAGAAGCTCTTAAAAAGGTTTCATTTACGCACACAGACATTGCCAGGAAAAGCACTTTGCAAAACCCTCTCTCGCGCTCTCCCCCTCTCTCACTGTTAGACAGAGCTTCCCGTCACAAACAGCATCAGCCGGATCCAGCTAGGGTCCCATAGAATCGGATCAGGGCTGAGGAGGGTGCCGCAGAGAGGACTGGGCAGCCTGCATACCCAGCCGGCACCCGGCCCGAGAGAGCCGCTCTTCTCAGAGAAACAGCCTATTTATCAGGCTACAGCCGGGACGGGAGGGAGAAACATTACACTAAACAGAGACGTCTCCTTCCTACTTACTGGCCGTGAGTTCAGACTATACTGGGCTGGATTAGGAAGGGAGAAAACACACAACACGATGCCTTTATGGTTCAACTAGTGGGACACATTCAAATATGGAGCCAGTGTGAATTTGGAAGACTCCAGAATGGCATTATAATGACATCATCTTGATGAGCAGGGTTGAACTTACGTCGACTCTTGAGGGGATATTTGTGGAACTGTGAACTTTGGTGATGAAGACTGACAAGGCATTTGTTAAAGAGGAGACAGTTTTGCATCCTCTGCTCTTTTCATGTCTACCATCAATTCAATTACAGCTGGGCATCAATTCTGAGAGCTTCCTCCTCTCAGACAGAGTGCATCATTACCCTCCTGCCATTTCGATTAACCATATCAATCAATGGCCTTCCTTTCAAGGGCTTTCAAGCAGCTTTCCCCACAAAAGAGGGAAAATGGATTACTTGGATATATTTGTAATATGTAAGCAACATACAGTCGTTTCATATGACCCTTTCAGTCTCACTATGGCGTGACAGAGCAGAGCCCTTTATGGTCAGTAATACTTCTAGCAGGAGGGAGCACGGCTGGAGCTCATTCTAAGAACACAGCCACAGGTAGATAACAGTCTATGAATCCCCTTCTGCTTACTTTCTGGGTTACGCTCCCCCTACTTAATATGCACATATCAAATCAGTTCCTTTTCATGGGCAGACAATTATATCCAGCCCGCCTCACAGTGTCCTTTTCTTTAATCGTGGCAAAGGGACGTGAGAGTCTATGCAAAGCAGTGGACCAGAAAAAGCCCTGAAATGCTCTCAGTGGCAAAATCCCTGAGTGTATATCAGGAGTGTAACCGGCTTATTCAATTAAAGGGCTTCTGGTGGCTGGCATCTAAAAAGAGAGCAGAGCTCAGGAGGAGGTGAAAGTGACCGACAGGTTGAGGTGACTTAGTGTGGGACAGATGAGGATTGTGTCAACAAATTTAGTTTTAGGCTTCCATTACGATGTATGTATACATTGTTACTTACCTCCACCAAAACAAAGTTCCTTCAGCAGGGTCTCCTCTCTGGAAGTGTCCAGCACAAACTCGTCAAAGGCGGGGTCGGCCACAGGGTGGAATGTCCTCAGAGTCTCGGTGGATTTCGCGATCCTGGAGTGAAAGGGCACAAAATGGCAGAGTTATTCCCTTTGTAGTGAACACTACACGCTACCAAGAGGCCATTCCATCAGAGCGGAGTGGAAATCATCTCCTGGGCAAGATAAACGAGCGTGGGAGACTTCTGTGTGTGTGTGTGTGTGTGTGTGTATTAATGTCACAGCCTTCCTAAAAGTAAAAGCGGGAATAAAGTCCTAAAGCTGCTTTTTGACTAATGGAGATCAATAAGCAGGATTAGAGCTAGAGCGGGAAATGGGGAATGTAAACAAGACCTCGTCGTTCCAATCTCTCACTTGGAAAATGTACCTGGCCAGCCACACAAATGGGCTGACCGGATATCTGGCACACTCACCACACCCACATAAGCTGATTGAATTCTCCAGCACTAAAATAACAGGGCCCAAATCCCCATTAAAAACTTAGAGGTCCAGAGTTGCCACAGGGAAATGACCATGGCAATAGTCACCATGATCAAATAGCCGTTAAGGCCTGTAATAAAGAGGTTGAAAATGGGCCCTTTGTTTTTTTAAAGAATGGAGGCCTTTGGAATTACTGCCCTTTTATAAACAATGGTAATATTATATCACCATTAGACAATAGCCTTTACCACAACTGATGACGGTAACCTTTGTGAGGCAGTCACTACTCTGCCATTGTATACTATCCATAACAGAGGACAATGTGCTGGAACTGGGAGTGGCAGTCAGGGCTGGAGGGAGGCTGACCTGGTGTGCAGCTGCTTGGCAGTCTGAACAAAGCAGGACTGGTCCGTCTCCTTGAGGACCTCCTGGGCGTAACCCACCAGGCCGCTGTTCTCCAGCATGCCCTGGTACTCGTCCACCTGGCCCCGGAGCTGGTCCAGACGCCGTGTCCTCGACTGCTCGATGGAGCGCAGCATCTCAGACTTCCTCTCCTGGAGGGTCTCGAACAGTCGCTCAAAGTGCTCGTTGGTCCGACGCTCCGCCAACTGGCCGTTCTCCTGTAGAAGTAAGAGATATGTTGCGCAACAATTCATTGAAACCTACAACTGCATTGAAGTAGCGTAGGGACCAGCGTTTGTGCAATCATGTCACATCATGCCTCCTATGTCATGCCAAAGAGTTTGACATGACAAGGAGGTGGAATGATGGCACAAACAGATCTGGGACAAGGGTAGCATAGACATACTATTACAACAAATGAAAACAAGACAGTGACAAAAGCCATTATAATACAGTACAGACGAGAGCAAATGCTTCTGCAGTGGAATTCATGTGAATTAGTATACGTTCCTTTGTTTATTCAAATACATATAAAGGCATAAGTGACCTTCCTTCTCGGTGCAGACAGAATGTCCCTTTGTTATTGGACATAACAGACATGTAAACAGACCATCACAGACAACACAGGACTAGTTTAACTCTGTCAACACAGCTACTTGCCTCGGTTTCATTGATCAACACCTCCAGGTGGGAAATTTGAGTCTTCACTTGGTCCTCTTTGCTGATTAAGTAATGGATAGCCTTTGATAGCTTCTCCTGTTGGTGTAATAACAACAAAGAACATTAGCAGAAATGCTCAATAGTTAGAACATTATAAGTTACAAATGATTGCATTAAATATGGATGAGACCGGCCCGGTGCCCGTGTCCACAGGCCTTTTAGATTACAGCCAGAGGACACAGAGTCCCTCTGTTTTCAGTGGCTGATTGACCTCCGTCTAGTCTAGGTCAGGGGAGACGAGGTTCGCTTGATGTTGATGACAACACACACGTGGATTCCACTGCTCGCAAAGGAAAACTGATCATGTGGACGCGTGCCACTCAGTACAGCTACAGGTCACAGATCAATATTTCATTAGGGCGCTGAGAAACAACGGAGTCACTGGCCAGTTGGGTAAACATCAACTTCCAAACTCTAACACACTTTCTTCCTGGGGTGTATTCATTAGTACACACTGTAGCAAAACATTTTGCAACCGAAAACGTTTTGCAATGAAAACGTGTTTATTTTTTAACAAATTCAGGTAGTTCACTCCCCATTTGCTTCCTAGTAAATAAACCCGGTTAGGTTTTAGTCAGGTCAAGTGAATGGTTGGAGACATCGTTATCGTCATACAGTACCTTGAGGATCTTGTAGGCGCTGCTCATGGTTGTGACTTTGTGGTTGGCGTGGGAGCCTCCCAGCTTGCACAGGTGACAGACCGGACGCCGGCACACCTCGCAGTACATGTTCACCTTCTCCATCTCGTGCTCTGGACACATCAGCACCTGGATGGCCATGAGCACACACTGGATTAGTGGCCATTTTCAAATCGCAAACTCGTCACACCAAAACATAAGTGAGTCAATACTGGATTACATTCTCTCTCCTTTCAATCATCTCTCTATTTATTAGCAGAGATAAGATTTATTGTCAGTCGAAATTAAACCAACAACAGCGAGCCGGTAAGGACCAGTCCAGTCAACATCTCTGAACGCAGCATTATTACCGCAATCAACTCGTCAATGATCGTCCACCATCAATAACATGAGCTGATCCCTGCAATCTAAAATCAACAGCAGAGCAACATGGTCGAGATAAACAACCCCCCCCCCCCCCCCCCACGTGGTAAATGGTATCTACCTTGGGCCTAAAGTTCATGGTGGGCCCCACGTACTCGTGCTGGGCTTTGGGGGTGCCCCAGGGGTGGTGGAACTTGAAGCACTCGTTGCAGTAGCTGGCCTTGCAGTCCATGCAGCTCTTGGTAGCCTCCTGCTGGGGCGGCTTGCACATGTTGCACATGACCGCCACGGCAGCGCGGGCCGCCTGCCGGTAGCGCTCCACGATGCTCTCCAGGGTAAAGTTCCGGAAGAGCATGCTCATGCCCCGCTCGCCCAGGTCCACGTCGTGTTGGCAACCCGGGCACGGGAAGGTGGTGATGCGGGGGGTCACAGAGCCACGCCTCCATCCCGGTGAGGAGATAGAGCCTGATACGACAGACAGAACAGCCATCAGAGGGCCAATCACAGAAAAACTAAGGGTGGGACTGCACAGACAAGCAGACACACACGGTCAGTGTCCTACAGAAACAAACACGGGTCCTTCTCGGGCAGCTCATACTACATAGTCTCTCACACAACATGGATGGATAACACAAGAGATAGGAAGAGCATGTGTTTACAGTGACCTGGACACAAACAGATTCACGTAAAATCCATTACAAATCAGGTGCAAAGTAAAAAGGTGGGAAACCCACTAACAGAACCGAAATTTAGACTCAATCAACCAAAGGGTAAGAGAGAGTAATATCGATTTCCAGCAAAATGGCATCCTGCAGAGGAAATTTGTTTTTTAAATGATTTGTCCAGTTCAACATATCTGAACACTCGCTCACAACCATAAATGCCTTGTAAAGCATTATTATCCAGAAAGACAACAAACCCTTTGCATATAAAAAAATATATAAAAAATAAGAGGAGAAAGGCATTCATGACACACATGACGAATGCAAGCAGCAGAACCTTGTGCATGAAATGTACAAAGGAAAATGGCAAGCAAAAAAAAGTTGCAACACACAGACATGCAGTGGGTACAAAGCAAGCATGCGTGACAAACATGTCTGCCGATGTGTGTGATGGCATGCAGCGATGGGAGACTGAGGATGCTGATGGAGTAGTGAGTGAGCAGGCTTGGTGTTTTGGAGGGTCTTGGGATGGAAATTGATGAGGTGGGGGCCAAGTGTCCTGGACTGAAGTGGATGGGGGAGGTCAGGGATTAAAAGGACAGTGTACTTAGGCTAGGTGGGTGTGCTGGTCAGGGAGGGAGGGGGCTGCAGCAGCGTGTCTGCAGCAAGGTGTACGGTAGCAGGCTGAGGCACGTTGCCCTGCTGCTGCAGTGGAAAGAGCTCAGGGCAGAAACTGACAAGTCATCGCAAGGCCATTCTGGCAGGGCAAAGGGGTACGTTTCCTACAGAACCACATCATTAACAACAAGGTTTGAGTCATCACAATGCGACACAGCCCCATCGCCATAACCAGGACTGCATTACAAAAGGGATGCAAGCAATCTTGCCAGGAGTATGTGAATAAACCAAATACTGTACAAGGTAGGAACATACATTTATAGAGTGGAGTTAATCTTCCCTACACGTTTTTAACTTCTTTACCTTTTTACTTGGAAGAATATACTGTCAAGATGAATGGCTTTTAGACTGAAATCTGTAGGGTTCTTTTAAGACTTGACCTCTATGAAAGGGACACAACTGCACTTGTTAGGAGAGGTGTTTCGTGAAGCAGTGTTTATAATGGAGGGGAATCTTTCACTAGCGTCAGGAGGATAATTATCATGGCATACCGTTTTTAAAACATCTACCGAGCACTTCAACATAAAAAATAAAAAAAGAAAGACAAATGTCTGCTAAAGCATCATTAAGACCACTGTTTTATTTGGCATTGTGCTATAGGGTCTTCTCCCATCAACTAGCACAAGTTGATGAGAACATTGGCTTGTGCGCCATGAGCAATCTCTACAAACATGAGTGTCTAAAACATCATTTTCTATAACTGAACCGTGGTGCAATAAAAGTTTCACTGGGGCAAGCCTGTCAGTAGGAGTGAAATTGAAGGTTGAGGCAGCATAGTCTAGAGAATCTTGGTATGTCTAAACAAAATATCATCTTGTGTTTTGTAACATAGAAATAGGTCCCCTGCCTCTTCTAAAAGTATATCTACTCGCCTCCACAAGGTACTGGGTACTTCAGAGGCTACAGGGAGGGGTGACCCCTCTTCATTTGCCCAGGCATTAAGAAATTCCACTTTAAACCCAACTCCTAGGTAACTTCTGAGCCATTTCGCTTCCCTCTGCTCTCCACTCTCTGACTCACATCCCGTCCAGAGCTGTAGCTCTCCCTCTCATTCTCCAACCTACTTTGTAAGACATCCACGTGTTGAAAGCAGAGCACTAAAGCCTGAAAGCACCAGGCTAGAAACAAATCTCCAAATGCAGACATAAATTGGTGGGACATACTATACATTTGCGCCTTTGCTCAGTAGACTTTTTTAAAAGCTAGAATGCCACGTCTACCAAATCAGCTATATAACAGCAACAGGGGGCCTATTGTCAGTTGTGTGGTTACGTACAGTAGAGTAACAGTTAAATTGGGGTTCACGGGGGATCTTGTAACACTGTACTCACTACTACAGCTATTCAAAAAATGGAACCCGCGTCTACCTCTCCTCCCAAACGACCTTCTCTGCAGTGTGGCTGCAAGCAATGGACAAAGAAGTGAAGTGAGACCAACAATTAACATATACAGTATGTGAACAGAAGTGGAGTCAAACCTGATGCACATCCAATGACAGTGGACAAGTGCTAACACACAATAACATGGTGCTTAAAAGAAATGGCTTTCTTAAAGTTTTTGGTCAAACAATATGTGAATTCACAGATTTCAAAACATCTATATGTACATTGAGTTTAACATTCTAAAAACAACAAAAGTGTCTGGTCCAAATCCTAATAAAACAAGGTGAAGAAAACATTGATGAGTTTCCAGTAACAAAACCTTTGTTAGCTTTTATAGCACTTGACTGATAAATATAGCCCTGGGCTCAGTTCATTTAATCCCTCATTCATTCCATGCAGGCAGGTTTTGTCACCATGACCACCACTGGTCTGACATCCAATCAGCAGAGGTGAAACCTTTAGTTAAATGCTGTCAGAGATTTAAGACTTTTACTTAAAGGTATGTTTATAATGTCCTTTAAGATTTCTTCAATGTACTTATAAGAAATTTGTTTACTAAATCCGCTGTAAAAGTACCATGGTTACTAACGCCAAGGGGATTGAAATGAAGTGCATGATTCTTAAGATGACTAAGGATGTATTATTTTATTACCAGCTCTATAACTATAGCTCTTTTTCTAAACAGCATTGAATGTTTCCACTGTGTTAATAGATGTGGACCTGGACATGAAGAATGGGCACATTCAGGTTCGGGCAAATGTGAATTGGTTGGGCTGTGGGTTCCACAGCTGTGTTTTTGGAGTGGTCAGTGACTAGTTTATGATTAAGTGAAAGACTGCCTTGTCTCACGCCATGCTGTTTACACCTTGGATTTAGACATTGAATTCTCTGTCTCCCTTAGCATATTTTTTGGGGGTGAACCAAAATAAATGAATATTGTAACAACCTCCCCCTCCCACCAAAACGTTATTTCATAAGCGTTTTAAATGCTTTAGTGGGATAATAGTCGTGCTTTGTTCTGACATGTGTACATAACTCAAGCCTGTCATCCTATCAAGGTGGTGTAAATGATAGGCATTCTGTGTTAAGAAATTGCTTGGCATTACTAAATCAAAATATCCACAATACACCTATAATTTAAAGTTTTTTTGCAAGTGCATGCTTTAAGGGCATGGAATTAGACAGAACAAAAGTGATGACTTGAATAAACTTGTCGAGTTTGAATAAGACATCTCAAAACGTAATGAGATTAAAGGAATTGTATGAACATCCAACATTATGATTTTAAACAGGGTGGGATCAGTGGTGGTGTCTTTCATTCTACAACCCAGAGAATAACTAGGAAAATACACGTGAAAGATGAAACTGGGTATGACATGTCCGTAGAACTTTACTGCAAATTGCATGTGATGTTGCCAGATTGACATCCCTCGTCACAACATAGGCTTGGTGATGAATGGCCAAACCCAAACTTACCTGATCTTGCAAGCCTATCCAGCCTCTCCATGCTTGGCGAGGGCACTCTGGATCGAGGCCCTGGGCTCCCAGGGAGGGAACACTCGGAGCCTGCATCGAAAGAATCCTCATGGTTCAATAGCAGCAGCTCTCGGACACACTTGTGACAAACGCTGTGCTGACAGGGCAAGATGAGGGGGTGCGTAAACAGCTCCTTGCAGATCGGACAAATGAGCTCCCGCTCAATACTCTTGATAGGGACCTGGTGTGGACACGGACAGTACTATTAGGTCTACAGTAAACTTATCCCCAGGCTAATTGCATACCGGTTCAACAGAGACGGATCCGGCTGGTGGACGAGACTAGCAACAGCAACTCATCATCAAACCAAACTGTGCACCCCTTGGGGCCAGCTGTGTATTGCTAGGGCAAAATCCAAAATGGGCAGCCCTTGGTGTCCCCAGGACCGAGTTTGGGAAACGCTGCGGTTGCTAGTCTCGTCCACCAAGCCGAATTTGGGAAACGCTGGCCAACAGTAACATACATAGACTTATGTAAACGCTTTTTAAACATTTCATTTGAAAGAGGCCAGTTTTGTTACTGATAGACTAGGCATACGGTTACATAATGGACACATTCTTCATTGTATTGTGCCTGAGACAGGTCAATTTCCCCCTAAAGGCCTAGAAGTAAACAACCATTAGATTTTTCGTATACAAACACAATTTTTACATGTAAGCTCTACACTGCTAGGCCATGCACATAGTTACGTTAGTTCATGCATCAGCTTGTTGGTTAGCTGAGGCAAAAATGGTTACAGCAAGCAATTCCTCAAAGGGGAAAAGCTATACGGACACACCTGGTGCCCGAATTGATGACGTATGTTGCGCAGCGAGAGTTGAGTGGAGACGAACGGATTCGGTTCAGTCAGTCGTCCTGATGAGCCCTTCCCAGCTATCTAATTTATAGATGCGGCTAGAAACTTCTGCGAAAATTAGGAACTTGTCTGCCGAAGTTGGGACTTCGGAGCGTGTTCAGAATCATTCTGTTTTTACAAAAATGTAGACGTTAATGCCGTAGTTGTATATTTTCTGTTAAAATCCCTATAATAAATGTGCTTTAGCTGTCACCCTGGCCTGATATTGGCTACACTATCTAGCTACTTCCATCTCTTTACTGCGGCAAGCGGGAACGAAGGACACTGTGCCCCGTGTCGTTGTATTACTGGCTTGCAGCGCAAACTCTCCCCCATTGAGCAGTAGACTGTATCACGGTGACATCCAGATAGTTACTAGTACCAAATACCAATATTAAATGTGATTTCTTGTGTAGGCTGTTATCCTAGTCTAAATAAAAATCAAGTGGGATGAGCAAAACATTTTAATATATATATTTTGTAATGCTCTCAAAACGGGACATTATTGACCTAATAATGGTATTTGTTTTCCTACACATGCAAACACTATCATATACAATTGATAGCTAGCAGTGCACTGGAATGACATTCAGATTAAGTGGAATGACACTAACTCTCACGGGATAGGTGGCCAAAAATAACTACCTGAAAGCCACACCCCCTCATGGCTTGGTTTTTGCTCTGAAATGCATTGTCAACTGTGGGACCTTATATAGACAGGTGTGTGCCTTCCCAAATCATGTCCAATCAATTGAATTTACCACAGGTGGACTCCAATCAAGTTGTAGAAACATCTCAAGGATGATCAATGGAAACAGGATGCACCTGAGCTCAATTTCGAGTCTCATAGCAAAGGGTCTGAATACTTATGTAAATAAGGTATTTTTGTTTTTATTTTATACTTTTTTTGCAAAAAAATCTAAAAACCTGTTTTCGCTTTGTCATTATGGGGTATTGTGTGTAGATTGATTACAAGAAAAAAATATTTAATCAATTTTAGAATAAGACTGTAAAGTAACAAAATGTGGATAAAGGGAAGGGGTCTGAATACTTTCCGAATATGCGCCATGGCACTGCCTACTTCATTTGTTCATTTAACAAACAAGAAAGCTCATAATCCAGTGCCTTTATCACAGTCAACACCTATATTTTAGGTTTAAAAAAGCAACATTCTTAGCCTCATGGCAAAATGTAGAATAGCATGATACTAGCTATAAAACTGCACATTTTCCTCTGCCCCACGGCAAAATCCATTCGTCTCCACTCAACTCTGAGCTGCGCGACATACTTCATCAATGTGTGCACCGGCGTGTCCGTATAGCCTCTCCCTCCTCAAAAATAGGTAGCTCAGAAACTTCCATTGCCTTATTTTACAGTGAATTATTGCTGTAAAAACTAGCCTATATAATTTCGACCCCGCCATTTGAAATGTAAAAGGCAATGATGAATCAGTAACGTTCCACGAGGATGTTTCATATCATTTTGTAATATTAAAACTAGTACATATGCTAGTCACTTACCGGCAAAATTGAGTTACGTCGCGAGACTGCAGACATGATGAATTAATATATTTATAGGGTTGTTTGGCTTGTTAAAACGTATCCAACGTATGTTGAAGATGCCGACTAGTGCAATCACGAGCGCTGTCGAGTCGATTGTGAATTAAATACCGTGACTAGACGCTACGGATGGGACTGCGCGTCGTGAATCAGCAACAGTCGAAAGGCTGCTGCATTTCAAGCAATGAGGGACAGCCAAGCTGTGTGGGGCGGGGTGGAGACACTGAAATCACCATAGTAACAATGCGGCAACCCGGAGTATTCAAAAGACAGGGAGGGCAATAGGATCAGATTTCACTAGACCAAAAGTTGAGGTTTGCAACGTTTCAAAATCGCACGTGAGAGATGCTATATTGTTGCACTACCAAAATTGTAACTGTTAATATAAACGCAACAGTTAAAAAGATTTTACTGTGTTACAGTTCATATAAGGAATTCAGTCAATTTAAATAATTGTAAAATCGGCCCTAATCTATGGATTTCACGACTGGGAATACAGATATGTATCTGTTGGTCACAGATACCTTAAAAAAAGGTAGGGCGTGGATCAGAAAACCAGTCAGTATCTGGTGTGACCACTATTTGCCAACTTCACATAGAGTTGATCAGGCTGTTGGTTGTGGCCTGTGGGATGTTGTCCCACTCCTCTTCAATGACTATGCAAAGTTGCTGGATATTGGCGGGAACTGGAACACGCTGTCGTACGTCGATCCAGAGCATTCCAAACATGCTCAATGGGTGACATGTCTGGTGAGTATTTAGGGACATTTTCAGTTTCCAGGAACTGTGTAGAGATCCTTGCGACATGGGGCCGTGCATGATCATGCTGAAACATGAGGTGATGGCGGCGGATGAATGGTACGACAATGGGCCTCAGGATCTCATTACGGTATCGCTGTGCATTCAAATTTAACATTGATCAAACGCAATTGTGTTCGTTGTCCGTAGTTTACGCCTGTCCATACCATAATCCCACCGCCACCATGGGGCACTCTGTTCAAAACAGCAAACTGCTTGTCCACACGATGCCAAACACGTGGTCTGCGGTTGTGAGGCCGGTTGGAAGTACTGCCAAATTCTCTAAAATGACGTTGGAGGCGGCTTATGGTAGAGAAATAAACATTCAATTTCTCTGGCAACAGCTCTGGTGGACATTCCTGGAGTCAGCATGCCAATTGCACACTCAAAACTTGAGACATCTGTGTAGATCGTGCACTCAGTCATAGCACTATTATTCTTAGATAGTCCATGAAGTGCCATATTAATTATGAGTGGCTTGAACAGTAGGCCTAGGTTAATTTGTGTAAATAGCCTAAAGCTTACCCTACCCGTTTAGCAGTGAAACATGTTTGCACATGGATGGTGCATTGTCCAAATAAAGTTAGCCCCAAATGCAAATATTACATTGGTAGGAGTAGGCTGTTTACACAAATTATGGTCATTAATAATGGATGTTCATAGGTCTAGTCTATTCCCCTACTTATCTTGTTCAAAAGCCTACAATATTTCTTACGACTGCAATTTAGCATGCTTTTGGCATTCTATTCTTTATGCAACCCCCTTGGTATCCTGCAAAGCCTAATTAGTATATTTAAATTCAATATCTTGATTTATGAGGTGTTACATAATCTTGATATAAGATATCAGGGCATTTGTTTGCAGCCTATAGAATGATAAACTAAAATATAGGACTAAAATGGAGATTACGTGGAGAAAAAACACATTTGTGAATTTTACAGCAGCCCATATTTCATGCACGTGTTATCTTTATGTCCCTGATACCCGTTCCAAAGGACGGCGCAAAACCTTTAGCATCCTTCCTCTCCACCTAGACTACACACCTTGATCTAGCCGACACCATGCTGAAGATGGCAGCGTGGCTACAATAGGCTACAGATCTGGCATTTCCATAAATCATATCTGACGTTCACTTACCTCTCCCGCTGTTATTCGCTGGACTATCTGCTCGACCAAACTCGGTAGCATATCCTGATTATCCTCGGTATCGGACATAATGACTGATAATGTTGACAAGATGCAGGGAATATAATTAACAATGGGTCAATAACAAATAAATAGTGTAACTAATACTGTAAAAATCGAATGGCTTCCCAAAAAGAGAACGTCACATTCGGAGAAATATGGTTGCTTCTTCATCCTCAGTACATCGAACAGCCTATGTAGCATACAATTCATGCCCCAGCTGCTTGAAGAGAAAATTTAGCAAGATTTATCAAGAGAAATCATACTTGATGCGTAACCCCGCCCTCACTGTACATCTCAGGCGTGCGCTTACCCGCGCATTTAGACATCAGCAGCATCATTGGCGATGTCTTCAACTGAGCCCTAGTATTTCACACAACAAATGAAGACTATGGCTATTTTACAATGACAGATAATAATCTCATAATGTTTGGGAATAGAATGGATTTTCCTGAGATAAAAGTACGGATTTAATTGGAGTCACCTGATGATGCATTAAACAGTGCGTTAATGTATGCATGAAAGGCCTATAAAGAGTTGTTTAGCCTACATGTTAGTTCATTACGATCTGAAAACACATAGGCTATGCCTTTTTGCCTAATGGTTTACACGTTCTTTTGTTCAATTCGTTTAACAATTTTAGCAACAATAGTCTTTAAAGGCTATAGCCTATTGTGGTCTTCCCAGCATATCCCTTAAAATAAATTATTTCATGCTGTAACGACAACCACAATTTAAGACAAATGTTTTATGTTAAACATGTTAATGATATTGAATAGGTCAGCGGTTGAGAGGATTAAATTGGGCATAATTACTGGCGATGCCACTTGTTCCATGCATCGCGACGGCGTCACCAGATGGCCGCTTCACACGGATTTCACCTCATTAGACACATGGTAAAAAACAAGCTGTCTTTGAAAGCCCATGTCATGTCTTACAACCAATATCAGTGCACCATATAAAGCCACAAAATGGACCCCGCGCGGCACTGGCGTGTGTGATTGAGTCATTCAATGAATTAATTTAATCATTCTTTAACTACTCGATTTAACAGGGATTAAGACATGCCTTACTCGTGCAATTATGTAACTTTTAAGTAAAGTCGTCCTAGGCTTAGATATGGCATGTCATATGAAAGGTCAGATGCTGTATACTTCTTATTTGAGGCAGAGAAAATGACTTTCTCCTGAGTCTTCACAAGGATTGTAGTCTTAAGAGTGCATGGCTGAGACCAGGGCAATACCGTACTGTTGATAAAGTACTTCTGTTTTATACTATGTCATCGAGCTGATTTTGTTGGCACACCTTCACTTTGCAGTAAAAAGGCAAGATAGGGGAGGGATGCTGGATTTCATGAGATGCTGATTAAAGTGGTGAGTGGATAAGCTAACTGATGACTGGCAAACCAGCAAACTGCAGACCCCAAGGACAATCTCCTTGATTAGATCCAATACTAAATTACCTCTGATGATCATGACAATTTACTGTTACTTTAAACTGAAACAGGCTTCTTTCTAACTCACACACTGCACAAATGAAAAGTTCGCCATTTTTATTAATTTCACATAAATATGCACTTCCAAGCTAGTTTTAGCACACGTTTAGTTGATTTGACATGATACAGAGAATATGCCATTATTTATTTCACATATCAACATTGCATATCAAATCCACCTATCTCACTGAAATAGCAGTGATCAGATTGAGCACTTGCATGAGAGAGGTGACATTGACATTTATATCATATCTACACTCAATATTTCTATAAAGTATAGAAAAAATAAATTATATTTCACTTGTTTCTGTATAGTTCACGTCGGGACAAACACTCATGTGTCTTTTGACCTAATAACACATCTACAGCGACAGGCAAATCTATTCAGTAAAGGCCCCTCCCAGGTTAGAGAGCCCAGTTTCTGCTGTGTGAGACACATTTCAGAGAAGGGAATGAAGTTTGAGTGAGTGGTCTCGTGACTTGTCAGCCTAGGAGTACTGCAAACTACCATAACCCCAAAATATTACTGGAGCCAGCTACACCGGTTAACAAAATACAGAGATGCTAAAAAATAACTTCTCCTGGACAAATACAAGAGGCTCGACCGGTGTAGTGACCATGTTGGTTTGCGACAAAAACATTTTTGACCAAAAAACAAATACAAGGCAAAAAGTCTTAAAGATCTTTTGAGAATATAGCGGAGAACAGTGTGTTTTTAGCAGCAGGAAGTTCAGTCTTTTAAAGAGCATGTGTCTCAGAGGAAGGGAAATAAGTACAGTATCTACAAAGCATTCCATCAAACAAAAAAAAACAGATTACGCTGAATCTGGCTCCGGAGACGCTAAGCAGAATGAGCGCTCGCCCGGCCTGAGCGTCAACTCCGCCAGTTTGCGCTCATTTATTGATGGGCCCGATAATTTATTTTATCACCTTTCCCCCCATGTCAGTGAGACCCACTATCGTTTCTATTGCTAAGGTAACAGAGGGAAATGCTGCGCATGGCTTAGGGGCTATGGCGGCAGTACTTGGAGGCTGGGGTGTGGTGGTGGGAGGCATGCTGCTGTCAGGTGCAGGCGTCTCTCCACGTCCGGTGCAGGTGCTGCAGATACTCAAAGGCCCTCTCGCTCACGTTCAGGGCGGGGTGAACTCGCCGCAGGTTGGCCTCCCCTATCAGAGACAGGCCGCAGATCCCAAAGTAGGCGTGCAGCGGGTCTGGAACAGACATGAGGACCAGAGGAGAGAGGAAAGTAGGTCAGCCAAGTGACACGCCCCAGCACCTGAAACTGAAAGGCCACTGTGGCTTCGGTCATGTTCCACGTTCGATTGCATTGCAGACATTGCTTTGCATCAACTAATGGTTGGACGCTATGTTATCTACTGCGCAGTCAGGAATCAGATTGCTATATCATATGATGTGGTTAGCTGTATGTTTGTAAAGAACAGGAAGGCCCGCACACTGTTTATGCTCCCAATTCACCAGTTTGACAACGCTTCGATCCGAAACGGATCTTCGTCAGATTTAACACCTATCCAGGGCATTGTGAGATCTGGCAGGTGTCTGCAATGTAGTTAGCCTGGAACGTGACCAGGGGCTTTTTTTAAAAATCACATAGAAGACAAGGTCCACAGCTCCTTTAACAACCTCACATTTGCCCGATGTGAATTAGTGGCTGCACCTGATAGCTGTACAGACCAGAAAAGTATATAATGAAATCACTAAGAGGTGGTTTTAAGAGAGAGCTACTCTAAAGTGCTGCCAAAACAGGATTCAATCGCATACATCAATAACTGTCACTATGGACCACACGCTTATGAATAAAACAGATCTTGACATGATCATTGACAGGTTGCCAATAATGTCTAGCTGATCCCAATTATGTTTCGAGTCAAACATCACAACACTTTTTCATACTTATGCAAGATTTATCTCTTCTTAGGGAAGCATGAATAGGCTGCTACATATTACTGGAGAGAAGAACTGTACATGCAACCAAGTACATGATACTACCTCAATTGTCTTTGTGAGTAAAAACAATAACAGTCAATGGATGCATTGTTGTACTGGCCCTTTAATGGAGCATAAATAATGTACCCTGACCCCTTTAAAACTGTCCATCTCCCATGGGACCCCACTAAAAGCCTTCCAGGCACAGTAAATGTACCATCATTGAATTATAATGAAAAGACAGATTGGAAGCGGACATTAAAATCAATTAAAAAGTCATTTCGATATGAATTATGACTTAAGGTCATGTGGAATTTTCTTGAAGGACTGCTGTACACAGTGTACAAAACATTAAGAACACCTTCCTAATATAGAGTAACCTAACCTGGATGACTGTCTGGCCATTTAGCGAAGCCGCCCACCAAATGGTCCTGAGTGGACAGGATGTAGTTCCGGTTCTTCTCAAAATTAGTGTACTGAAATACGTCTAGGAGCTGAAAATGAAAGAGGTTAGAATTAGGCCAGGGGAAATTCACTGTGACACCTTAAAGCTAGAGCACACCAGCGCTCTTATTAAATTAAAAACCAAAAAACAACATTTTAAGTGAGAAGTAGGGATTGGTCTGAAATTCAAGAGCACCACAATGCCACCCATACTCTACCAAGGTTTTTCAGCACACAGCTTTGACCTACTACAGTAGCTATGTTGGTCTACTGTACTTCAAACAACGTGTATGCAGGTTGCTTAGGATTCAAACCTTCTCAAATAGCCTTTGAATGAAGATCCCGCCTTCATTCCGCATTGATCAAAAAAAATTCGACACCGTGTGAATCCGGGCTGGTAATAAGTCACTGTTTTATAGAGGAGCCGGCATGCAGTTCCCTGAACATTTGAAGTGCCATATAGGGCTCTCTGGACAGCTCCGGCCCAAGTTGAGCACTGATCTTTAGGCTAAGTTAATCGTCAGAACATTCATAGGCGCATCTTTAAATCTCTGAGCGGTTTCCCAAAACCATCGTTATAAAGTTACACTTGAAAACACTTGTTATTTACCGACCGCCTCAGACCACTCGTAGAACGCTAACTGGGTCGTTAGATGCTTTTTTGCCCTTCCGCGTCACTTTATACACAGAAGATCTCAGCTACAGTTGAAGTTGGAAGTTTACACACAGTGGGGGAAAAAAGTATTTAGTCAGCCACCAATTGTGCAAGTTCTCCCACTTAAAAAGATGAGAGGCCTGTAATTTTCATCATAGGTACACGTCAACTATGACAGACAAAATGAGAATAAAAAAAATCCAGAAAATCACATTGTAGGATTTTTAATGAATTTATTTGCAAATTATGGTGGAAAATAAGTATTTGGTCAATAACAAAAGTTTCTCAATTCTTTGTTATATACCCTTTGTTGGCAATGACACAGGTCAAACGTTTTCTGTAAGTCTTCACAAGGTTTTCACACACTGTTGCTGGTATTTTGGCCCATTCCTCCATGCAGATCTCCTCTAGAGCAGTGATGTTTTGGGGCTGTCGCTGGGCAACACAGACTTTCAACTCCCTCCAAAGATTTTCTATGGGGTTGAGATCTGGAGACTGGCTAGGCCACTCCAGGACCTTGAAATGCTTCTTACGAAGCCACTCCTTCGTTGCCCGGGCGGTGTGTTTGGGATCATTGTCATGCTGAAAGACCCAGCCACGTTTCATCTTCAATGCCCTTGCTGATGGAAGGAGGTTTTCACTCAAAATCTCACGATACATGGCCCCATTCATTCTTCTAGGACACGTCTGGCACTGCAGGATTTGAGTCCCTGGCGGCGTAGTGTGTTACTGATGGTAGGCTTTGTTACTTTGGTCCCAGCTCTCTGCAGGTCATTCACTAGGTCCCCCTGTGTGGTTCTGGGATTTTTGCTCACCGTTCTTGTGATCATTTTGACCCCACGGGGTGAGATCTTGCATGGAGCCCCAGATCGAGGGAGATTTTCAGTGGTCTTGTATGTCTTCCATTTCCTAATAATTGCTCCCACAGTTGATTTCTTCAAACCAAGCTGCTTACCTATTGCAGATTCAGTCTTCCCAGCCTGGTGCAGGTCTACAATTTTGTTTCTGGTGTCCTTTGACAGCTCTTTGGTCTTGGCCATAGTGGAGTTTGGAGTGTGACTGTTTGAGGTTGTGGACAGGTGTCTTTTATACTGATAAGTTCAAACAGGTGCCATTAATACAGGTAACGAGTGGAGGACAGAGGAGCCTCTTAAAGAAGAAGTTACAGGTCTGTGAGAGCCAGAAATCTTGCTTGTTTGTAGGTGACCAAATACTTATTTTCCACCATAATTGGCAAATAAATTCATTAAAAATCCTACAATGTGATTTTCTTTTCTCAATTTGTCTGTCATAGTTGACGTGTACCTATGATGAAAATTACAGGCCTCTCTCATCTTTTTAAGTGGGAGAACTTGCACAATTGGTGGCTGACTAAATATTTTTTTCCCCCCACTGTACACTTAGGTTGGAGTCATTAAAACTCGTTTTCTTGTTAACAAACTATAGTTTTGGCAACTCGGTTAGGACATCTACTTTGTGCATGACACAAGTAATTTTTCCAACAATTGTTTACAGATAGATTATTTAACTTATAATTCACTGTATCACAATTCCAGTGGGTCAGAAGTTTACATACACTAAGTTGACTGTGCCTTTAAACAGCTTGGAAAATTCCAGAAAATGATGTCATGGCTTTAGAAGCTTCTGATAGGCTAATTGACACATTTGAGTCAATTGGAGGTGTACGTGTGGATGTATTTCAAGGCCTACCTTAAAACCCAGTGCCTCTTTGCTTGACATCATGGGAAAATCAAAAGAAATCAGCCAAGACCTCAGAAAAAAAATGGTAGACCTCCACAAGTCTGGTTCATCCTTGGGAGCAATTTCCAAACGCCTGAAGGTACCACGTTCATCTGTACAAACAATAGTACGCAAGTATAAACACCATGGGACCACGCAGCCGTCATACCGCTCAGGAAGGAGACGCGTTCTGTCTCCTAGAAATGAACGTACTTTGGTGCGAAAAGTGCAAATCAATCCCAGAACAACAGCAAATGACCTTGTGAAGATGCTGGAGGAAACAGGTACAAAATTATCTATATCCACAGTAAAACAAGTCCTATATCGACATAACCTGAAAGGCTGCTCAGCAAGGAAGAAGCCACTGCTCCAAAACCTCCATTAAAAAGCCAGACTACGGTTTGCAACTGTACATGGGGACAAAGATTGTACTTTTTGGAGAAATGTCCTCTGGTCTGATGAAACAAAAATAGAACTGTTTGGCCATAATGACCATTGTTATGTTTGGAGGAAAAAGGGGGACGCTTGCAAGCCGAAGAACACCATCCCAACCGTGAAGCATGGGGGTGGCAGCATCATGCTGTGGGGGTGCTTTGCTGCAGGATGGACTGATGCACTTCACAAATAGATGGCATCATGAGGAAGGAAAATTATGTGGATATATTGAAGCAACATCTCAAGACATCAGTCAGGAAGTTAAAGCTTGGTCGCAAATGGGTCTTCCAAATGGACAATGACCCCAAAGTTGTGGCAAAATGGCTTAAGGACAACAAAGTCAAGTTATTGGAGTGGCCATCACAAAGCCCTGACCGCAATCCTATAGAAAAGTTGTTGGCAGAACTGAAAAAGCGTGTGCGAGCAAGGAGGCTACAAACCTGACTCAGTTACACCAGCACTGTCAGGAGGAATGGGCCATAATTCACCTAACTACCCGAAACATTTGACCCAAGTTAAACAATTTAAAGACAATGCTACCAAATACTAATTGAGTGTATGTAACCTTCTGACCCACTGGGAATGTGATGAAATAAATAAAAGCTGAAATAAATAATTCTCTCTACTATTAATCTGACATTTCACATTCTTAAGTGGTGATCCTAACTAACCTAAAACAGGGAATTTTTACTACGATTAAATGTCAGGAATTGTGAAAAACTGAGTTTAAATGCATTTGGCTAAGGTGTATGTAAACTTCCGACTTCAACTGTAAATATAGAATGAAGATGTTGATCTGCATCTGTGTCCGCCGATGAATTCAGAATGAAGTTGACTACAATACAAAGTTGCCAATGTCTTTGCCATTGTTATAAACAAGGGTAAAAGTATGCTTCAAATGAAAACCGAGATGACTGCATTAAAATAAATACAGTAGCCTACATAGGCCTATATATTTCAGTCATATTTAAATCAATTTCATATTCAATCAATTGTGTTCTATTTTGCTAATTGCAGGCTACTGTCTGTAATTTTTGCCTCAATTTCATGATGTGTAGGCCTAAAATGTGTACAATCTGTCCAATATTCGGAGTTGTCCATACCTGCCTATGCATTAGAATAAGCCGCCTCAATAATTGCAGCCATAGGTGACAATCTCTCTCTAGGAGCTGATCTGTCGTCAGTCTCTAATGTTAAGGTAAGATATACATTTACATCATTTAGCAGACGCTCTTATCCAGAGCGACTGAATGGAGAATGCTGATCCGAGACCAGCACTACCTTTCTTTCAATCCTATCTGTAAAGACACATGCTCTAACGAAGCACTTATTTAAAGTTCTCCCTACGTGGTGTTTTGGGAGTTCTTCAGCCGTTCTAGAAACGATGCATTGTTAAAACACTCGTAAGCTTAAATTTCATCGCTGTCGGAAAACGGGCCATGGCTATTACTTTGTAGACATGTCTATTTGCATTTATGCAAAACATAAGGATTCTCCCTTTAAAGAGGGGAGTGAAAATCAACAGCTGCTTTACATTAAGCACATACCAGTTCCTGTACGTGACTCTCAAAGTACTGAATAAGTTGGCTGAGTGAGTCCCCCCAGACCCCCCTCCAGTTTCTTTACTTGTTGAGGATCTACGGCGACGTCTTTTGGACATATTTTTTTGGTCCTGTCCAGATGTATTTTTTTGGTCCGGTCGCTAACCCGAACCCTTTTCCTAACCTTAACCTAAAAGTCGTAGCTGTAACGAAGTGGCGCGTTTTTAGGGAATCTCGTTGATTTTTGGTCCGGTCCAAATCTGAACCAATCATAGACATCTATGTTTAGTTCAGATTTGCGCGTATCCGGACTGGCCTTGATTTAGCCCAAACATAGACGTCTATAATTGGTTCAGATCTACCCAAACCTCGGTAGATACGACTTGGGACACACAAAAGGGGAGAGCCCTGGTGCGTCAGATGCGCGCTGATTTGGAGGTAGTCATCCGGATGTTCCCCGGGACAACAGTGTTGCGCAGCAGAAGAGTTGGATGTTCCAGTGAGAGGAGGACATCAACAAGCGCATAGAGATGGCCCGGTGCTCTGTCAACCAGCTTTTGTTTGCATTTCTCCGTGACAGGCGCATGCCCACAATCCGCCACCCTGCCATCAAGCAGTGTGTCCATGGCCAGTACCATAGGGATGGCGTGCATCTCAAGGATGAGGGCAACAACCTCTTCTATGAGAGTCTGAGAGCTTGTCTCTCCTCTGTTCTAGCAAGACACAAGCAGTAGTAAAAAAATGTTTGGGTCATTTAGCAGTCGCTCTTATACAGAACGACTTACAGTAGTGAGGGCATACATTGACATACTTTTTTTCATACTGGTCCCTCATGGGAATCGAACCCACAACCCTGGCTTTGCAAGCACCATGCTCTACCAACAGAGCTACACACAACACTCAATGCCACTTGCCTGCTGCTCCACTAACCCAAAGGCTATTTTAAGAACCACCTAATAAATGAAAATAAGTGTGTGTTGGGAGGGGGCTGTCAAAACTAAACATTTTTTTTTTCAAAATGTGTCCTCTGTGAGGCGAACCCGCAATCTTCCGATGCACAGCCGGTAACTCTAAACATTACACTAACACATGGACTTCAACAGACCATTTAAAATGGACAGTCTGGAAGCGTTCGTTCATATACCGCTATCAATATGCACCTGTGTATGCCTTGTGTATCCCGGGATCAGCTCCTAGACCGTAAGCTCATGCCACCCAGTCCCATTAAATGTTGTGAATTTCTGTAGGACTATTTTCCAGAGTGTATGTTGTTTGTTTTTGTCTGGCTGGCGCCACGTAGTCTAGTTCTCCCCCTCACGTGAGTTATCGATCACTCCCAGCTTCAGCCAATCAGGCTGTCCCCACTCTGTCCATGCACTGATCACGTATTCTCTGACCTGTTCACAGGAAGTGCTACCTTGTCCAAGACCTGCTGTTTCGCTGTCTTCCTCTCCCTCCCTCTCATACCTGCTGTCTCAACCTCTGAATGCTCGGCTATGAAAAGCCAACTGACATTTACTCCTGAGGTGCTGACCTGTTGCATCCTCTATAACCACTGTGATTATTATTTGACCCTACTGGTCATCTATGAACGCTTGAATATTTTTGTAGAACGATCTGGCCTTTATGGCCATGTACCCTTATAATCTCCACCCGGCACAGCCAGAAGAGGACAGGCCACCCCTCAGAGCTTGGTTCCTCTCTAGGTTTCTTCCTAGGTTCCTGTCTTTCTAGGGAGTTTTTCCTAGCCGCTGTGCTACTACATCCGCATTGCTTGCTCTTTGAGTTTTAGGCTGGGTTTCTGTATAAGTGTAATGCGTTGAAACAAAGTTACTAAAAACAGACAACCATTTATTATAAACAAAACAAAATAACGTGTTTATGTATTTGTCTTAATTAATCTAAATTGTATATTCCACATGCTTTAGCATTTGTAGTCCATCAGGCCAATAGACGGCGCTGTTGCACTGTGGTAGTCGGAGAAACAGCAAGTTCTGGCCAAGCGCGCGCACCATTCTTCAGAATAAAGAAAGCGCCAGAACTTTGCAGATGTAAACTTGTGTCCGTTCTTTTTACTATTACAGGTATGTAACAGAACTTCCAAACATTCTAATATCGAAAGAATATGTAATAACATGCTATTTAACAACTTTGTCAAGGTTTTATCACGTTAGGAAAGGTTTTGTGTTGTTTTCGTGTCGAACTGAGTGAAGGAAGAACGTGATTTTCAATGAGCGAGAGTATATGTTAGCTGAGGTAAAAACGATTTACAATTCACAGAGACTATGTTTACCGAGTCGCTTACTTGTACTGGATTTTGTCTAGGAGATTTGATAAAGAATCCAGTTGTTAGGGATTTCTGAGTTCGTTTTACATCTTATTGGTTTTGTGTAAAATTGTGCTCACGAGCTGGTAAACTCGCTCAGTCTGGAGCATGGACTTTTAGTGCATGAGAGAGAGACGATTTTACGGAGGTGCTGCTATCTTAAAGCTGAATGTATTGTTGTCAGTTTTCTATATTGGTGGCGGTACATAGAAAAACACTCAGTTATTTTTGTCTTCATATACAGTGAGGGAAAAAAGTATTTGATCCCCTGCTGATTTTGTACGTTTGCCCACTGACAAAAACATGATCAGTCTATAATTATAATGGTAGGTTTATTTGAACAGTGAGAGACAGAATAACAACAAAAAAATCCAGAGAAACGCATGTCAAAAATGTTATAAATTGATTTGCATTCTAATGAGGGAAATAAGTATTTGACCTCTCTGCAAAACATGACTTAGTACTTGGTGGCAAAACCCTTGTTGGCAATCACAGAGGTCAGACGTTTCTTGTAGTTGGCCACCAGGTTTGCACACATCTCAGGAGGGATTTTGTCCCACTCCTCTTTGCAGATCTTCTCCAAGTCATTAAGGTTTCGAGGCTGACGTTTGGCAACTCTCACCTTCAACTCCCTCCACAGATTTTCTATGGGATTAAGGTCTGGAGACTGGCTAGGCCACTCCAGGACCTTAATGTGCTTCTTCTTGAGCCACTCCTTTGTTGCCTTGGCCGTGTGTTTTGGGTCATTGTCATGCCACCCATCCATGACCCATTTTCAATGCCCTGGCTGAGGGAAGGAGGTTCTCACCCAAGATTCGACGGTACATCGTAAATATAAATAATATGCCATTTAGCAGACGCTTTTATCCAAAGCAACTTACAGTCATGCGTGCATACATTTTTGTTTATGGGTGGTCCCGGGGATCGAACCCACTACCTTGGCGTTACATCGTCCCTTTGATGCGGTGAAGTTGTCCTGTCCCCTTAGCAGAAAAACACCCCAAGAGCATAATGTTTCCACCTCCATGTTTGACAATGGGGATAGTTTTCTTGGGGTCATAGGCAGCATTCCTCCTCCCCCAAACACGGCGAGTTGAGTTGATGCCAAAGAGCTCGATTTTGGTCTCATCTGACCACAACATTTTCACCCAGTTCTCCTCTGAATCATTCAGATGTTCATTGGCAAACTTCAGACAGGCCTGTATATGTGCTTTCTTGAGCAGGGGGACCTTGCGGGCGCTGCAGGATTTCAGTCCTTCACGGCGTAGTGTGTTACCAATTGTTTTCTTGGTGACTATGGTCCCAGCTGCCTTGAGATCATTGACAAGATCCTCCCGTGTAGTTCTGGGCTGATTCCTCACCGTTCTCATGATCATTGCAACTCCACGAGGTGAGATCTTGCATGGAGCCCCAGGCCGAGGGAGATTGACAGTTCTTTTGTGTTTCTTCCATTTGCGAATAATCGCACCAACTGTTGTCACCTTCTCACCAAGCTGCTTCACGATGGTCTTGTAGCCCATTCCAGCCTTGTGTAGGTCTACAATCTTGTCCCTGACATCCTTGGAGAGCTCTTTGGTCTTGGCCATGGTGGGAGTTTGGAATCTGATTGATTGCTTCTGTGGACAGGTGTCTTTTATCCAGATAACAAACTGAGTTTAGGAGCACTCCCTTTAAGAGTGTGCTCCTAATCTCAGCGCGTTACCTGTATAAAAGACACCTGGGAGCCAGAAATCTTTCTGATTGAGAGGGGGGTCAAATACTTATTTCCCTAATTAAAATGCAAATCAATTTATAAAATTTATGACATGCGTTTTTCTGGATTTTTTGGGGTAAAGTGCATTTATGTTGTGTAATTTAAAGTGTGCACTTGTTTGATGTGAATGTTTTAAAGGTATGAAGAAGAAAATAGACAATTGAAAAAGAGAAAAAAAACTTTGCAGACATAAACTTGTGTCCATTCTTTTTACTACTACAGGCCACCTCAGCTACAGACTGAGGCCTGCAACATAAGCACTTTGTGACAACTGCTGTTGTTTTTATGGGAATGCGTATACAAAGTAAGTTGTTGTTGTTTAACTTGGCATTGTTTGTGTCTATAAGTAGTCACAGTATAGCAATTACTATGTTATGCATGTATGCGGTCTCCTTTACAAGTAGCTCTGCTTTAGGTAACTTACTGCCATGTAAATACAGTCCTTTCTTGCACTGCTGTCATTTATTACTGTTAGCGGCCATTGCTAGTCTTTACTCCTGTGTAACATTACTCCAGTGTAACATTACTCCTGTGTAACATTACTCCTGTGTAATACATGCTTTTTACCTTAGTCCTTACCTATTGTGCTATTGCAGTTCGGTTCCATTTCTATTCACTGCTGTAGACCATTGATATGCATACATTCATCCTGCTCTATTCATTGCATTCCATGTGTATACTTATTATTCGTTTCATTTCTGTATTACAGAACCATCCATGTACCTTAGTTTTCCTGTGTGTATGAATAAAGTTCCAGTGTGATTTAACTCTTGGGCTGTTTTATTCCCCTCTAACCGGGGGCGTTGTCAGTGGGTTACAGACCAGCAAACACGGTTGCGCTCTTCCACACGGCATGGATGTATTCTTTTTTTTTATGACATTATGTTTTATTAACAACACCGTTATTGGAGGGTGGACCATCCATAACACCACGGGTACCCATTGTACTGCATCACTCAAATAAAAATGTTTAATATAGGGGAAGTACGGGCTGCTAAATGAATGTCAATGCATACTACGAACATATTTGATTAATTGACTGGACCTTTCGCTAATAAAGCAACGTTAATGAACCATAAAGAAAGTGTACACTGGTACGTCTCCGGAGGTTCCAGCCAAGTTCCCGTTACCTCGAGTGTGGCGCCCACCCAGAAGGAGTAGCACGTGTCGACGGGCTTGTTGGGGCGGCCGTGGAAGCCGTTCTCCTGTCTCATGATGCACCAGCGGCGTATCCTGTTCAGCTCACGCTCGCTGAACATCTCCTCTAATTTGCCCATCAGACACAGGGCGGCGACGGCACAGAACGTGGACCCACCTGGCAGACAGACAGAAAGACAGCTTAATGACAGGGGTTATCAGCCACCGGCACAGCGCCACTATCCATCACCAGTTTCCCTTTTCAACTGTCACGACATTAGCGTCAGAGCTTTATTATCACTTCCAAACTGCAGAGGAGTAATTGTGGGGGAAGATGTCGAGACGGCATATGAATCTGCTCCGGCAGCAGCTGTGTGGAGTCCGCTAACAATGAGGGAGAACTTTGCACTCGGCAGATAGGTAGGTACACACACTCCTAACTATTTGAGATAATATTAATAATCAAGGCCCCCCCCCCCAGGGTTAAATAAAGGTTATAATTTCCACATTTTTGCGTAACTTCAATATAAATGCTTTGTGTAACATCCCATGGGTTCATTACGCAAATCTCTCTGTGCAGTAGCTTAGCTAACCCTGGGGGGTTCCCTGGAATAATAGGGCTTAATTGGAAGGAATTAAGAGGATATTTGTTCTAGTAAGGTTTTGGGCTAATGGCTAATCCCTCTCTAGACCCATAATATCAATCAATCCCGGGTGCTGCCTGTCATACTCACCATGCGATTCCAATCCAGCCCCCTGGCCAATCCCGTTATCATATGACTGAGGAAGCAAAAACAACATTCTGCCTATTAGGCAAACATAGGACCATGTGAGGGATAGCTAGACATCACTGAAACCGTGCAATAACTTGAAGATGGGGTGACACACGCGATCTATGATGAAAGGCGAGATCAGGACACAAGCTGCTCAATCAATGCCTACGTGGAGCGATCCACAGCCACGTGTCCACAATGCTGCTTGCTTACTATACTAAAACCACGCTTTATACACACGCTTGATGAGGCAGACCAACTTTGGTGACAATAACAAAAGAGGAAGTAACAATGTTGAAAGTAGTGATGTTTACTGTAGCGCCACGCCCCGGGGTTAAAAGCCCACCAAATATGGCAGTAAGAGGATTAGAGGCCTTCCCTCCTGTCTGGATCATATCCTCTATTTATAGGAGTCTGAGAAAACCCCCGGGGCTTAGGACCAGCGCTGCATGGGCTCCCTGCCTGCCTCCACGTCACAGCAGCCAACTGCATGGCCCCAAACCACACACACAGCTCAGTGTAATTCACTACAGCCATCCTGACAGGAATACCGCTGCCTGCCCTCCAGACTGTACTCTATCATCTTTTGTTAAATGACATAGGAGAGATGGGAAGGCAGGGGATATCACAGAGGAAACAATCACTATTATGGAGGCCCAGCAGGATACAATGGTGCCTGGTCTCCTCACCTCCGTCTCGCCATCCCCCTGTGACTTGGAGGGGAGGATAAAGGGAGAACGTAATAAAACTCAGGACTTGTGTAAACTGTTTCTCTCGGAAGGCTTTGACTGGAAAGAGTCAGGCTGTCGACAGGACGGCCCTTTGATTCCAATGCACCTTCAAAAAAGAAGGCCACTACTGACAGTCGTTTGATATAGGTCAATCTCGATGATGTGTTGACTACAATAGAAATAAAACACTGAACCAATGTTCGTTTAAACCCCAGTTTTACACTCTAGCAAGTAGTGGTTGAGGGTTGAACCCTTGTAGAAAAGACTGAGGAGGCTCAGCGCAGCAGGCTGCTTGATGAAAGTGAAACAATGGACTTACCGTACTTCTCCTGATGTAGTCGATGGCCTTCTTGATGTCCATGCCCGACCAGTCATCGAGCATGTAGCAAATGCATGCTGCGCAGTACACAAACCTCATGTCATTTTCACTTCCCTCTGGAACGGCATAGAAGCTGAAAGCAGACATCACAGCAGACGTTAAAGGCCTTTTTTTGTATGTGTAAGGACGAGGTTCGCTGTGTCAAAGGGTTTTAACTGGTTAAATCCTCTCAGAACACTCAAACAGGACGCAGTGATCTCTCTGACAGTGGTCTCAATGCTGACGTTGTTAAACAGGTCTCCCTTCACATAATGCACAAAAAAACGATAAAAGTACCAAAACACTAACATTAGAAGAAAATAATACTTTATTGTCCATCAACATAAAGACAACGGAAATGTGTCTTTATGCTCACAACCCAACTCCCCCCCGAGGGTTTGGAAGCAAATGTGTCAGCCGCAGTGCAGCGGCCCTGAAACAAGTATAGGTGGTTTAGTGCCTTGCCCAAGGCATTACCAAAGAACGTAACAGTAACTCATTGTTAGTACATCTGGTAAACGAGCTGCAGTGGAGCGTGACTGGATGTTTACCTTCCGTCCTCTAGCTGCAGGGCTTTCAGGCCCATCAGACAGGCCTCCTTATTGACACGACTCAGGTCGTCGCCCAGTATGACCAGGCAGGCCAGGCCAGTGTACGTCATGGCCACATGGCCACTGTCATACGGGTGGGATACTCCTGGGCCCTGAGGAGGCAAGCCTTATCAATGCATTCTGAATAGGACCGCAATATGACGTCTGTGACTCCATGACTATTCCGCCCCCCCCAACAAAATCCCCAACTGATTCAGCTGGCTTACATAGACACTTATAGGCAGACTGTTAATAATTCTGTTGAACAAGGATGTGTATCCAGTGTGTGGAGGTATGAAATTAGGTCAATACCTTCGAGGTGCTGTATGGAACTCCGATGTGTGATGACCCGCGAAACCCACAACGTCCTAAATTGGATTCTAGGGGGGTATGTGAAATGTTGGTAAAGCCAGCGGACATAAAGGGGATATGTCGAAGGAAATTAAAAACTTTACATTCACATTTAATGCATACATAAACTATATATACACAAAAGTATGTGGACACCCCTTCAAATTAGTGGATTCAGCTATTTCAGCCACACCCATTGCTGACAAGATGTATAAAAAGCGAGCACACAGCCATGCAATCTCCATAGACAAACATTGGCAGTAGAATGGCCTTACTGAAGAGCTCCGTGACTTTCAACGTGGTTCAGGCCCCTTAGTTCCAGTGAAGGAAAATCTTAACGCTACAGCATACAATGACATTCTAGACGATTCTGTGCTTCCAACTTTGTGACAACAGTTTGGGGAAGGCCCTTTCCTGTTTCAGCATGACAGAAAAAATTGTTTGTCGAGAACAGTGTGGAAGAACTTGACTGGCTTGCACAGAGCCCTGACCTCAACCCCATCGAACACCTGAATTGGAACGCCGACTGCGAGCCAGGCCTAATCGCCCAACATCAGTGCCTGACCTCACTAATGATCTTGTGGCTGAATGGAAGCAAGTCCCCACAGCAATGTTCCAACATCTAGTGGAAAGCCTTCCCAGACGAGTGGAGGCTGTTATAGCAGCAAAGGGGGGACCAACTCCATATTAATGCCCATGATTTTGGAATGAGATGTTCGACGAGCAGGTGTCCACATACTTTTGGTCTTGTAGTGAAGCTCTGTGTACAGTCCTCACATCAGGGCCCGTATTCATAAAGTATCTCAGTTGGAGTGCTGATCTAGGATCAGGTCCCCCCTCTTCTTCAATATGATTTAAAGCAGGGCTGCCCAACCCTCTTCCTGGAGATCTACTGTCCTGTAGGTTTTCAGTCCAACCCTAATTTAGCATATCGGATTCAGCTAGTTAAGGTCTTGTTGAGCAGCTAATAAGTAGAATCAGCTGTGTTAAATGATGGTTGGACTGAAAACCCACAGGACGGTAGATCTCCAGGAAGAGGGTTGGGGCAGCCCTGATTTAAAGTGACAAAACTGATCATAGATCAGTACTACTTTGAGACCATAATATAATAGAGTGTAGCCCAGGGATAGGCCCCCCTGTCCCTGGAGTGCTGCAGGTACTGCAGGATTTTGTTCCAACTAGGCACCACACCGGACCATTCCAACTGAGCTAATTGATCAGTTCAGTGATTGCCTAAATTCAACACACCTGAGGCCTCATTTATCAATATTGCGTAGAAACTATTCTAAAATACTACTTACGAACGGAATTTAGAATGGTCGTACGCATAGTAGAAGTCTGATTTATCAAACAATCCTACGAACGTCATACGCACACCGGTAGGAGACAACCATTGATAAATAATAATTGTTCTCAGCCTCAGTACTCGTGCACGACCTTGGATGTTTGCATTTCGAAACTCCCCTAATTAACCATATGGTCAAAATCATCCCTTTAACCCGCGGGGAATATATACACTGAACAAAAAATATAAAACGCAACATGTAAAGTGTTGGTCCCATGTTGCATGAGCTGAAATAAAAAGATTCCAGAAATGTTCCATAAGCACAAAAAGCTTATTTCTTTCATATTTTGTGAACAAATGTGTTTATATCCCTGTTAGTGAGCATTTCTCCATTGCCAAGATAATCCATCCACCTGACAGGTGTGGCTAAACAGCATGATCATTACACAGGTGCACCTTGTGCTGGGGGTCAATAAAAAGGCCACTAAAATTTGAAGTTTTGTCACAACACAATGCCACAGATGTCTCAAGTTGAGGGAGCATGTAATTGGCATTCTGACTGCAGAAATGTCCACCAGAGCTGTTGGCAGAGAATTGAATGTTCATTTCTCTACCATAAGCTGCCTCCAACATCGTTTTAGAGAATTTGGCAGTACTTCCAAACGGCCTCACAACCGCAGACCACGTGTAACCACGCCACCCCAGGACCTTCACATCCGGCTTCCTCACCTGCGGGATCGTCTGAGACCAGCCACCTGGACAGCAGATGAAACTGAGGAGTATTTCTGTCTTTAATAAAGCCCTTTTGTGGGGAAATCTCATTCTGATTGGCTGGGCCTGGCTCCCCTGTGGGTGGCCCTGGCTCCCACCCATGGCTGCCCCCCTGCCCAGTCATGTGAAATCCATAGATTAGGGCCTAATGATTTTATTTCAATTGACTGATTTCCTCATATGAACTAACTTGGTAAAATCAAATGAAATTCTTAAGTTTATATTTTTGTTCAGTAACACACACACGTGTATATATATATACACACGTATATACATACATAATACACACACACACATATATATACATACACATATATACATACATATATACATACATACACATATATACATATATACATACATACATACATACACACACACACACACACACACACACATACACACAAATAAAAAAACGCTGTACAATGAAATAAAACACCTTAAATAGAGGTGCTGGTGTCAAAGCTTGAGTACAACCAAAAGGTTTTAATTGGCTAGGTCAGTTGTGGCTTGAACAGTATTAATAATAACATAGCTACAAAAGAGAGGACCATTAGGACAATTAAGTATACTTGAAATGAGTAGGCAACACTCATCAATAAGCCATCCATCCACAACAGCTCCCTCCTGTATGCGTTCTGCAGAATGAACGAGCCGTGCGTTCCACCTGGCCACCACAATCAGCAGCGTATTTTGCACATCACATAACCACATCACCTGCACATAAATAGTGGAAGCCTTTTCTGTTCACATCATTTAAAACGTTTTGGGATGGTGATTTTATGGTGATGTGGGTGCCGTCTATTGCTCCGTCCGTATTTCGGAACCCATTGATGGCATCATGGCAAAGAAATCCCTCGACTTCAACCTGTTGTGCAATGTCGTTTTGATGATGTTTTCATCCAAAACGTCGGCTCATCGAGGGCTGTGTGATGCCGATCAGCAAAAAAGTGCCCATTGCCAAATACCGAAGGGTGGATAGCACTTGGAAGTGCACCTGAATGGCATGCGGTCACCTTTTAAAAAGGTCTTAAATCCTCACAAAAATCCTATAAGATTGTTTGATGAGCCAATCTGTACTTTCTGCAGAAAAAGTCCCACCTGTCTCTAAAAATGCGCCCTCTTTGAAATGCAGTGTGTGCTTCAAACAGAGCAAGACCTTCAAACAGAGCAAGATCAGCCATCTCAGTCTTTTATAGTATTTCAACATTGGTTTCACTTTCACACGTACCTCTCATTTAACCAGTACTGTGCTTTATATGGATTATTATTGTAACAAATGCACAGGGGTCAAATTATAAAGCATGTCAAGATATGTTGCATGAATTCACAATGGAAATACAATAATTATTTAATTATTACTCAGTTTCACACATGACAAGCAGTTCCCTTATTTCACCACTTGGCACTGTGCATACACATGGTCATGGCTGGGTGTAAATTTACGCACACTCAAGCAAACGTTCATATTGATAATTCTCACACTTAGCGTGGAAATAATCGCACGCATGATTTACGTACAGATTTGTGCCTACGCATGGTTGATAAATGAGGCCCCTGGTCTTCCAGGTTGGTTAAATCAAAAACATTGAGTACCTGTGGCACTCCAGGACCAGGGTTGCCTACCCCTGGTCTAGCCTATATAAACACGAGCCAAGGCATTGTCCATTGCTGTCAGGCAACTCAACAAGGTGTAATGCTGCCATCTAGTGGTTCGCTTTATTGTCAGAATGGGAGTGTCCCTGACTACTTAAATAGAACTGAAAATCAGCAGCTGAAACTACTACTAATGTTAATAATAAGTAACAGGCCAGACAAGTAGCATATGATTGTAGCTTTCTATGCCCAACCGATAAACAAGTCCTTAACAGGATTTCTGTTCATCGTCTGAATAATAATAAAACAACTGGGCATTGAGCAGAAGTGGCTGATTAGCATCATCCAGAGAGCGCATAAAATACAGTGCCTTCAGAAATAATTCATACTCATTGACTTATTCCACATTCCACATTTTGTTGTTACAGCTTGAATTCAAAGTGAATTAAATGGATGACAAAGTGAAACAATGTTTTTAGAAATTTTAGCAAATTTATTGAAAATGAAATACAGAAAGATCTAATTTACATAAGTATTCACACCCCTGAGTCAATACATGTTAGAATCACCTTTGGCAGCGATTACAACTGAGTCTTTCTGTAAGAGCTTTGCACACCTGGACTGTACAATATTTGCCCATTATTCTTAAGAAATTCTTCAAGCTCTGTCAAGGTCCTCTGTAGCTCAATTGGTAGAGCATGGCGCTTGTAACGCCAGGGTAGTGGGTTCGAACCCCAGGACCACCCATACATAAAAATGTAAGCACACATGACTAAGTCGCTTTGGATAAAAGCGTCTGCTAAATGGCATATTATTATTATTACGTAACAAAATGTGGAAAAAGTGAAGGGGTCTGAATACTTCCCGAATGCAATGCATGTTTAAAACCCTACAGTAGGCCAGGGCAACACTTACGGTCCTCTGTAGGAAGAACTTGTAGTGAGTAGACCCATTCAATCAAGCTGTGCTTGTCTTTTACGTCAAGGGAATCCAGAACATCAAGACCAGAGAGGGCAAAGAACACAATGGTCAACCTAGACAGGTACACAAAAGGTAAAACAAACGTTTATACACCTAGTAAATAGGATAATACTATTAGAATTAGCCAAGGTAGGTTAGAACAGAAAACTAAATCATATGAGTGGTAGCGTACATGACATGTCAGCATTATAGCCAACTCCATGCAATCCAAGTGCATCACTTAGCTAACTAGTTTGTCAGTAATGACAAACAATTATCAAATTGTTTGTTGTATTATATCTACGATTTAAAATGACCAAGCTAGCCTGTATCTGTTCGGGCTCTTGCCAACTCTATTGCTGTCAATGTCAAGTCAAGCGTGTTTGTCATGACAATGACTGAATGAGTGACAGGGAGTTGGCATGATAGCAGAAACTGACTGGCACTAGTCCAGCTATGGCCATCAACTAGTTAGCCAGCGGAATCAAAACTAGGTGTAACCAACTATGCGTGATAGTTAGCATTTAGCCTGGTTAGCTAGCTCACTTGCTTCATGGGCTAGTTAACGTTACATGGGTTTCGGATAATGGAATGGGTGGCTAAGTTAAATCAACTCTAGCTAGCTAATTCAGTTTGTTGCATTGCCAAAGGCACCAATGTTTAGGTGCAATATTTTGTATGGAACACCACACGCCATCTGAAAGATGTAGCTATAGCTAGTTAACTAGCTAACGTTAACAAAAACACAGTTTTGGGCCTAATGACAGCGTTTCATTCGATTTCAATAAAGTGATTTTCGTAGCAGGTTAGCTAGGAGAGCATTTTCGCTAACCCAAACTATTTTCCTAACCTTAACCTCAGTCTCCTAACCTGCTACGTTAATTATCCTAACATGCTACAAGTATCGAAGTAGCGTGAAGAGTTTTTCCCAATACAGCGCCAGCCAGACTCGCCTTCCTCATTCAATCCGTTAGCTAGCTAGTAAGCATTCTGGCTAGCGAAGTTGTCAAATGAAAATATAATTATTAATGACAACATATGTACCTGCTTGTTTCTAATGAGGAATATCTCTCTGGTAACACCTGGAGACATCTTTGAAAGAATCGTATATGTCGATCTTTTACAAAGTCAATTTGTTCAAATTCGGTAAGCGAGTTCTCCCCTTCCGCCATCTTTGAGGATCGCCACTAGTTACCACAGCCACAAAGTCTTAAACCCCGCCTATTTCAACAATTATCTTCTTTAAAATGTGATTTTAAACCTAACCTTAACCACTCACACTGCAAGTGGCGATTTTAGCATGTAAATCTTAGTGGGGCAAACTCCCCCACATTTTCTTTTAATGCATGCCAGCAAAGCCATTACACAACACTAAACAATACATTCATTGCACTATAACGGTGACAAACACTGCCCACAAACTGTTAGGGCCTACATAAACCTGTCCCAACAGCAGAGCTTTCTTTTCAGCACCATGGAGTGAATCCTTACCACCGCTACACCTGGCTATCCGCGGAGCCTTGTCTGGCAGCGAAACAGTTCATTCAGCCTCATTTACTGCCTTTTTAAACAACATAGCTGATATGGCTGACTTGCTTCAACAAATGTGGTTTCTACTGACAATTGAGATGTACAAACTATGGCATAAGGGAACGACTAGCGGACAAGAGGCAATCTGTCATTTCAATTAAGACATTAATGAGCGAGCTAGGATGGACGTAGTCAATATAACTATTTGTTCAGCACTTTTGAAATGTACAGTGACAGAAATCAGAACATGGGCCGTTCTTACAGTATTCTCCCTGTACACCAAGTCAGAACCGTAGGATAAATAAAGGGGGCATATAAGCAGACATTGAAAGCTCTTACAATATTCAATCATTACATTTCTCTAAAACAGCCTATAGGCTACATGTGCACCACCAAGTCAGAACAGTAGGCTAAGTAATGAGGGGGAAAGGGACCAAATTATTAGGGTGAGGCACATGGGCTACTAACAGCTTACTACACAACATACATTTAGTATTACTTTCTTAGCTACAGAATACATATCTCCTTGGCATATTACATAATTTATGCAGCAGCATACAAGGCATTGTTGTACTCACTTTGTTGTGCTGTTCTCACTTGAACAGGAAGGTGGTGTGGTGGTCCTTCTTGCAGCAAATTTTGTCATCAAAGTCTGGCATTCTCTGGATTTATGATGCTTTCAAGAGAACTGTGAACTCGGAAAAAAACAAGGTTGAATCATGACGTCAGTGATCTTCAGGTCGGAGCTCTAGAAAGACGCCCGAGTTCCCGACTTGGAATTGCGAGTTGGATGACCGTTCAAAACGTATTATCCCTGTCGGAGCTCATTTTCTTCAGAGTTCCCAGTTGTCTTGAACTCACTGAAGTCTGAGATTTCCCAGTTCTGAGTTTCCAGTTGTTTTGAAAGTGGCAGAAGTCATGCTGGATTGACAGCATGGCCAATGTATTCAACCTTTTCTGGCCCATGGTGTTGCATGTGAATGTTTATCCTTTTAAGCTTGGAAACGAGACCCTTAAACCCAGATTTGGACCACACAACCACTCCACTGAATAGCAGGCTAGTGATTGCTTTGCAATGCTTGCATTTAGCCACTGATTCCTTCCAACCCACTCATTGTTGAATTTGCGATTTCCAACTTGTTGTGTAATGTTTATGTCCAATGGCCGATGAGCACCGATATGTTTTATCTACAATTTCTCTTCATATGACAAGGATTGAAAAGGATTTGCCAGTAGATTGTTGACTTGATTCATGATGATGACTGCTTGTCTAGCTTGCTAGCCAAGATTTTGAAAGTATGATGTTGACATGATCAGATCAATCAAAGCTACGGGAGATATAATGTGATTTGATGTAATTTTATCTGTGGCCAATGACCTTGAGCCTTCTTGGATGGGCACTTCTAATGTAAATCTATGGCAGCACCCAAGGGGCTTGAATTTTCGAGCTCTCCCCGTAGATTTTGCGGTGACGTAGTGTCCCCATGATTGACAGCACACTGAGCCAATCACTAGAGAACATTACCAACCCCTACGCTCCGTATTTTCCGCTGGCTGCCCCACCCAGTGTTGCCAACTTAGCGACTTAGCCGCTATATTTAGTGAATATTCAGACCCCTCTAGTGACACATTTTCAAAAAATTGACTAGCGACAAATCTAGCAACTTTTTCTGGTGTTATTGGAGACTTTTGGAGACTTGACGTGAAAGCACGTATCATTCTTACTCTTCTCAGCGAGCAGCGGGTGCTGCCGCTGTGCCCCACCCCCGTCCCAAAGCACTCACAGGCGGCCCAGTCCTCGCGCAGCAGTCCCTCCTAGCTGCAGTCAGAGCAGGAGATGTTCACCCCTCCGCGTCCAGACTGCAAATGAATTGCGCATGCGGGAAGCCGCCGCTGGCTGATCCCGCCCTGGCTTACATTCAGGGTGGGATGTAAATGTAAAATGTTCTTTGTCTAAAATAAATCACTGCACAAAAATAAATCACTGCATTTGACTCACACAGCCTCAGTCACTTACTCACCTCGTCCACTGTGTGTGTGCCTCTCTGTGACATAAGCTAAACATCTACAGTGGGGAGAACAAGTATTTGATACACTGCCGATTTTGCAGGTTTTCCTACTTACAAAGCATGTAGAGGTCTGTAGTTTTTATCATAGGTACACTTCAACTGTGAGAGACGGAATCTAAAACAAAAATCCAGAAAATCACATTGTATGATTTTTAAGTAATTAATTTGCATTTTATTGCATGAGCAATATCATTTTGATACATCAGAAAAGCAGAACTTAATATTTGGTACAGAAACCTTTGTTTGCAATTACAGAGATCATACGTTTCCTGTAGGTCTTGACCAGGTTTGCACACACAGACCTTCTCCAGATCCTTCAGGTTTCGGGGCTGTCGCTGGGCAATACGGACTCTCAGCTCCCTCCAAATATTTTCTATTGGGTTCATGTCTGGAGACTGGCTAGGCCACTCCAGGACCTTGAGATGCTTCTTACGGAGCCACTCCTTAGTTGCCCTGGCTCTGTGTTTCGGGTCTTTGTCATGCTGGAAGACCCAGTCACGATCCATCTTCAATGCTCTTACTGAGGGAAGGAGGTTGTTGGCCAAGATCTCGCGATACATGGCCCCATCCATCCTCCCCTCAATACGGTGCAGTCGTCCTGTCCCCTTTGCAGAAAAGCATCCCCAAAGAATGATGTTTCCATCTCCATGCTTCACGGTTGGGATGGTGTTCTTGGGGTTGTACTCATCCTTCTTCTTCCTCCAAACACGGCGAGTGGAGTTTAGACCAAAAAGTTATATTTTTGTCTCCTCAGACCACATGCCCTTCTCCCATTCCTCCTCTGGATCATCCAGATGGTCATTAGCAAATGTCAGACGGGCCTGGACATGCGCTGGCTTGAGCAGGGGGACCTTGCGTGTGCTGCAGGATTTTTATCCATGACGGCGTAGTGTGTTACTAATGGTTTTCTTTGAGACTGTGGTCCCAGCTCTCTTCAGGTCATTGACCAGGTCCTGCCATGTAGTTCTGGGCTGATCCCTCACCTTCCTCATGATCATTGATGCCCCACGAGGTGAGATCTTGCATGGAGCCCCAAACCGAGGGTGATTGACCGTCATCTTGAACTTCTTCCATTTTCTAATAATTGCGCCAACAGTTGTTGCCTTCTCACCAAGCGGCTTGCCTATTGTCCTGTAGCCCATCCCAGCCTTGTGCAGGTCTACAATTTTATCCCTGATGTCCTTACACAGCTCTCTGGTCTTGGCCATTGTGGAGAGATTGGAGTCTGTTTGATTGAGTGTGTGGACAGGTGTCTTTTATACAGGTAACGAGTTCAAACAGGTGCAGTTAATACAGGTAATGAGTGGAGAACAGGAGGGCTTCTTAAAGAAAAACTAACAGGTCTGTGAGAGCCGGAATTCTTACTGGTTGGTAGGTGATCAAATACTTATGTCATGCAATAAAATGCAAATTAATTACTTAAAAATCATATAATGTGATTTTCTGGATTTTTGTTTTAGATTCCATCTCTCAC